AATATATATATATATATATATATATATATATATATATATATATAAACTTAAACTAATGAAAAAGACAGAAGCAGATAACAAAATTACTAAAACTAAATGAAAACTTAAATGAAATTCATTCAAGCTATATAAAATCTTTTTTTTAAAAACTAATAAAAAAGGACTAAAGCAAATAATAAAATTATTAAAACTAAAATTAAAATGTAAACTGAATTTTACAATTAAAAAAAAAAAACTAATACAATAGACAAAATCATATAAATGCTAAACTAAAATTAAAATGTAGACTACCCGCCCTGAGTGAGCTGTCATCAGTCCGCCATTGTTTCACCGCTGAAGCAGTTGTAAACAAGAATGACTCCTAAGCGATTGAGGCAAGAATCATATCAACTTGTGGAAAATGGGCATCCTATGACCCCTTTAAATAAAAAAAATGCAAATATAAAAATAAGCTAATTTCGGAGCATTAATAAATACTATAATAGTATACAAGTAATACTAAAAAATAACACTGCTTTAAAAATGTAAGGCCATTTTAAATGCATCATTGCTCTAGATCACACGAAAAGCCTTTTATCGGTATCTGTTAGCGAACCCAAAGGCCATTGATTTTTTTTTGTGTCCAATATAAAGCATTTGAGAGTGACTCTGAACTTTCCTGTCTTCCAGCTCAGTCCGTTTGTGTACAGTGAGTTTGCGCGGGAGAGGAATCTGCACGTGTCTCTGCTGGACCGGCTGTACGAGCATTACCCATCCGAGTACCCCTGCAGGATCCTGCTGTGCGAAAACTACCGCTCCCATGAGGCAATCATCAAGTAGGTGTGAACTTTTTCACACCACTCTTCCTGAGGAGAGACAGACATGCAAACACACAAAGCATTAGGGCTGCGTTGCTGCAGACGTAATTACGCACGTGTCTGCCAACAGATTCTCCCTCTCATTCGCAGTCTCTCACAAACACATCATTGTCTCTTTCTTCCTGTCTGCTTCTCTCTCTGTTTCTGCTTCAGTCTTTCTCCATTTCACTTTTGGCTTGGTTTTTATGTAGATATATGTGACATAAATCAGAGGTTCTCAACTACGAGCATGTAACCGGTCACAGACTGCAGGTAGAAAGCACACTAAATCCAAATAATAAAAGGCAACCAACCATAATTAGGAGAGCAAAATAAGTTGACTCATTAACTAAAAATGAAGAAAATGCTTCCCATTTTTGGTTGTTATCCAAGGCCGTACATTTGATTAAACAGTTTTTCTGCACATTCATCTGTTACGGTGCAAATGCCAACATAGAGAGGTTCCCCTCAAACAACGAATGAAATTACTCGTAACGATATGACCCAGAATTCATTAAATTCGTTCAGCTGGTGGTACCAAATTAATACCAAGATTTCATAACAGCAGAAATAGTATATTCCCCTCTTTAAAACACATTCTACCCTGTTTCACCAGTTGGAGCATAGCATTTCTTGGTATTGTGTTACTGTCGATTGCTAATCTGTGTTTTATCTGTAGATTGTAAAATTGGTTGCCAGTGAAATTGATATCTAAATGGTATATTTCTTGTGTTCTTTTTGATGTTTTATTATCATATCCAGCTGGGTATTATAATAAAACATCAGAAACATGACAAATCTAAAGGAGAATTTCCTAGTTTAATTTCCCTTGTGAAATTGAGTAAGTTTGACATTTATTTATGGCAGAATATTCATTAAAATGACAAATACCGGGCAACATGGGGAAAAAATGCGCCTTCTCTGATAGGAAAGATGATTAAAATGCCTAAAATATAATAATAAAATGCCATGCAATCTGAAAGTCCGCTAGTAAAAATGAAAAATGGGATCGTCTTTGCTTTAATGACAGCAGCACTCGAGCTTCATGAACTCCAGGAAGATTATCAAACCTGATGGTCATGTACTCCAACTACATTTGACAGCATTTTGAGCTTCAATTAAAACATGTGCTCATTTGATTAATGACCTAGAAATAGTGCAGAATAATATTTCAGTAACGCTTTACAATATGGTCATATAAGTTAGTGGTGGTTAATGAATTACATTTGTTATGGTATATATTAGTCTTTTTTTAGCGTTAGTTTATAAAAATACATGGTCACACTTTATTTTAAGGTCCATTTCTCGCTTTTAACAAACCTTAAACTATGACTTTTTCCTCAATAAACTCCTAAGTTGCTGCTTATTAATAGTTAGTAATGTAGTTGTTAAGTTTAGGTATTGGGTAGGATTAGGGATGTAGAATATGGTCATGCATGATATGTGCTTTATAAATACTAATAAACAGCCAATATGTTAATAATAGGCATCCTAATAAGCAACCAGTTAATAGTCAGAATTGGTCCCTATACTAAAGTCTTACCAAATACATCTGTTCATTATTAGATAATGTTAGCTGAGGTCCATTAAATAATATTAACAGATAAAACTTTTGATTTTTAGTAGTTTATTGGTAAATATTGAAATTAACTTTAAGATTAATAAATGCTTTATTTTAGTTAATGTTATCTAATGTAGTGGTGTAGTGTTAACAAATGACACCGTATTGTACAATGTTACTAATATTCTTTATTTATTTTGCATAATTTTTATTGGTTTAACAAGTCCTAAGCTATATTTCCCTGTTTAAATAGATACCGAATTACAGATTTTCAATGTGGACCCAGATTTGAACCCCGCTGTATATTCTTAAATTACTTTATGTAAATCTATCTGAACATAAAACATAATCCTCCTGGGAGCAGTTTCGATCCACGTTTTAAATGTAATATGAGAAGATTTTCCTCAGGGACCGACAAGGCACTGCATGCAAAAATTGAGGCTTATAGCCACACACACACAGATGGTACAGTTGATGCCAACAGTAACACATTTGCTGTAAATCCCTGTTTGGACTCCCAGTCATGGGTTTTGAGATTGAAATCTGACAAAACAGAAGAAAGATGGCAGCCAAAGATGGGACACCTCTCTGAGCTGCGGGAGCCACACTGACACCAGCGCCGGGGCTTTGTAAATTGAGTGCCAGTCTGTTTTGGATGCGTTCAAGCATTCACTGATAGCCCCCCCACCCCCCTTCCTGATATCTCCCAGCGCTTTCAACACTTGAGAAGTCAGAAAAATGACTAAAACGTCCTTGATTGGAGAGCTTGGATGTCAAATTGTTAATTAAAATGGATATGAGTGTCTTCAACACAGAAATTTACATGATGTCGGGTTTTATTGAATCATTTTGCATACAATCTACATATTTTGTGCTGTGGAACATTTGAGTGAGTAATATTCAGTTCCACTGATGCGGAATGTGTTAGAATATATATGCAAAAGCTGTTAACAAACCCATTGCAATGATGATGAATACATTCGGCAACATCTGAAATCTCCTAGTGTTTAGATTTTAATCTTTAGAGTTGTAGCTCTTGATAGTTTAATGAGGAGCTAAATGACCTTTTTAAGGCTGGAAGTGCTAACCGTGTGTTCTGGCTGACCGCAGCTATACGTCTGAGCTCTTCTACGAGGGCAAACTGATGGCCAGCGGGAAGCAGCCGCCCCATAAAGACTTCTACCCTCTGACCTTCTTCACTGCCCGCGGAGAAGATGTGCAAGAGAAGAACAGCACGGCTTACTACAACAACGCTGAGGTAACCCCAACATTGACAAGAAAGTGTGCTTTTGTTGTTGTTTGTTCTTCCGATACATTATGTATTTATGCTGGAATTGGTGTAAACAGGCCTTATTTCTGATTGAATGGGTGTGTGAATGTATTGGACCATCATCATTGAGAATCCGTTGGGAATGCACTGTTGACCCTCTGCAGGTGTTTGAGATAGTTGAGCGGGTGGAGGAGATGAGGAAGAAGTGGCCTGTGGCCTGGGGGAAGCTGGACGAAGGAAGTATCGGCGTTGTCTCGCCCTACGCCGACCAGGTCTTCCGAATCCGAGCCGAGCTCCGCAAAAAGAGGATGCCAGAGGTCAGCGTGGAGAGAGTGCTCAATGTCCAGGGTGAGTGAAAGATGCCAGATCTACAGTGTATTTTAATATGTAGAAATTGCTCAAGTTGTGTAGTTTCTTGGGGAAAATCATGTTATCATGCAAATTGTGGATGCTGGACACTGGTGGTGGTGGTGTGACATCCCCCAAATGATTGTAAAGCGATTTAGAAGCGATTTAATTCACAGATTTAGTCTCAGCAAATGGTAAAGGTCAGTGGTCCCAACCCTGGTCCTGGAGGCACCCCAACACTGCACATTTTGCATGTTTACTTAATTACTTAATTTGAGTAGAATATTGCAATGGAGGTCACTAAAAAAACTGGGCAGAAAATGTATCCATTTAAGACAAAATATATGATTGGGGGATTTAAACACTTGACATCTGGAAACCTCATGGAGACGTGATGACAGTGCAAGATAACAAAAATGTCAGAAAAAAAAAATATTTGAGGATTAATTATCCAGCGGGCAAAAGAGCAGAAATTGTGATCATGATTAAAATATGATTAATGATTAAAAAATATGATTAATGCAGCTCTAATAGTTTATCATCTTGGATTTTTCACCAACCAATGACAAAGATTACCTTTCCACAGCAGGAAACTTATGATGCTACCTCACAATTTTGTCTTAGTGAGGTATCTTCAGCATAATTAAGGTACCTAACATTTGACCAATTTTCGCTGCCCCCAGAGGAAGATCACTAGGTTTGAGACCAGACCCCATGTGTCAGCCCAGAAGGGTGGCAGAGAGAGCAAGCTTACCAGACAGCAATTTTGCCTGCCAAATGTGTGTTTGGTGTCTGAGAAAAGAGCTGGTGTCCTGCAGGTTTCATTTGAAAAGCCAGATTGGTTTGTGCATAATTGATGGCGTTTGGTTCGGCCTGTTGTGTTGAAATCAGCATTTTAATGGATGAAGAAATTCCTGTAACTCAGCTGCTTGTTTGGCACGGAGATCCATTTGAAGTCATCATTACCTGATTCATGCTCATCTGGCTGCCAATCTGAGCTGGGCACCAAAGAAGAAAAGTCATAATTCATAGGTTGTTATAAGAGATCTTCTCTTATTATAGTGACATTCATTTCCTCCGAATACCTCTGTTGCATCTTCATGGCTTTCAAGATTTCCAGGGTCAACATGAAATCAGATTTGACAGGTTTTCTCATCGCATCGTCACATAATTCAGCAGTGTTACACCAAAATAAAAGCTCAAGGATTTGATGCGTTTAGAGCTTGAGGGTTTGAACATTTAAAAGTGAAAGATTTAAGACATGAATGTTACTACTGTAACTTATAGCGTATAATTGTTACAATGATCAAATGTTGTTTATTTTACAGCATTGTTGCAATTTACAAGATTAATATATTTCTGTGTTGTTAATTTTTTATTCAACTTTATTTAAATGCATACAGGTGTTTTAGAAACCCAATAATAAATACATTTTCTTTTCTTTTTTCTTTTCTTTCCTATTTTGTTTTGCTTTATTTTATTTTATTTTATTCCTAAACTAACCTGACACACTATCACAACTAAAAAGGTTTGAGTCTATTTTAAAGTCCAGCTACAAGTCAAAACAAAACACTCACTAAATAAAGAAGTACTTAATCAATTTTATTGGAGTTCATGTGACCATTATTGGCCATGTGTCATTAAATTATTAAAATTTAACCTATACATATCAGGTGATTCTTTGGGTAAATATTTTTATATTGAATGGGTTTAGCTGACAAAAAAAGTCTGGGAACCTCTGGTGTACATTAGGGCTGTCAAAATGGCTGAAAAACTAAATTCGAATTTTGTACTTAAATATTATCAAAATTCGAATTATATTCAAATTTAAAATGCATAATTTCTGTTAGGGTGAAGAAAAGCTTTTGGATTCTCTCCTGAGGCCACAAGAGGGCGCATCGAGCAAAATATTACTAATGCACGTTTCTTCAAAGCATAAGATAACATGACTATCTGTGAAAAAAGTGCATAATGTTTAAAATAATGTTTATAAACCAATTATAATTAAGTTGCTTAAAAAACTATAAACAAAACAGCATCATGTATGTATGCATAGTTTAATACAAAGGGCCGAAAGCCAATCACACAGAGTGCATTTTTCATTTAAAAACACGAGTTGCAGTGGGATGGGGAAAAAACCCCGCCATAAAGTCTCGCGATATGTTTTTTCGAAGTTGAACTTGCATTAATTTGACATGGCTTTCTAAACATGCAGCTCTTTTGTGTGAGACGCAAGTGCAACAGCAAATTCGAATGTAACATTTTTGCATTCGAATGTGGATTTTTATTTGAAATTCGACGAATATTCGAAATTTTAAAAAAAATGTATAGCCCTAGTGTACATTATTAAAAAAAAGATATATTTTATTTTTTTATTCTTTTTTAAATTTTATTTATTTGTTTTCATTGTTTTTTCTATTTTATTTTTGGGTTCCTAAACTGCTAACCTGACACACTATCACAACTAAAAAGCTTTGAGTCCATTTTAAAGTCCAGTTACAGAGTCAAAACAAAACACCCACTAAATAAAGATGAAGTATTTAATCTATTTTCTTGCATTTCATGTGACAATTATTGGCCATGTGTCATTAAATTATTGAAATATAACTTAAAATATCAGGTGATTCTTTGAGTAAGTATGTTATATTGAATGGGTTCAGCTGACATAAAAAGTTTGGGAACCTCTGGTGTACATTATTATTTTTTTAATTACTTTTTTAAGGCAGGAAGTTATGTTGATTTTGTATCGGATCAGCCATCAGCAACATGCTAATTACACGGATCTGCTCTTGTCCGTAGGTAAGCAGTTCCGGGTGCTGTTCTTGAGCACCGTTCGCACCCGTCACACCTGCAAACACAAGCAGACGGCCATCAAGAGGAAGGAGCAGCTGGTGGAGGACTCCACTGAAGACCTGGACTACGGCTTCCTGTCCAACTACAAGCTGCTGAACACCGCCATCACTCGAGCGCAGTCCCTGGTGGCCGTGGTGGGAGACCCCATCGCTCTCTGCTCGGTGGGACGCTGCAGGTAATCAGACGCTTTTTAAATAGCTTCAAAACTCACTCTGTTGGAGTTCAGAGGACTATTTGTGTTTATTTTTGAAAATGTGAACAATATATGGGCTTTGTTTAAGCATTTCTGCAATAAAAGAATCAACTTGAATCATTGCGCTCTGAATGTTGTCGCACTCGTTGACTGGGATAGGCCTGTCTGGATGTGTGCGCTGGGCAGACAGTGGCTCGTTGCTGTCTAGTTTTGGTGAGTACCTGTGTAGTCAGTGTTCCCACAGGAAGTGCTGTCCCTCTGCCTTCCCATCATGCACTTCACCGCTGACAGCTCGGACTAACACGCTCCTCACGCACTGACGCTTCAGACATTGCTTCTACAGAATGGACATCAAATCGTTTGGCGCCATCAAATTGTATGTTGAAAATAATCAACAACAAATTTGATTATAAAGAAAACAGAACAAACTAATCCCATACCACCCTCCTCACCCTAGAGACCTAAGTAATGCCACAACAATGGGCGGTCAACGCCATGTACTTACTCAACCTACGCTATCAAGATAATGGAGAAGGACAAGCCAAATCTTATCAAAGTGATCCAATTTGTTTAACAAAGAGTAACAGATTTAGTTCTAAATGTCATAACTTTACAGTTTCTTTCAGCCTCCGTTTAACAGATGGAAATTTAGTTTGTTTCCAAAACCTCATAAGTTTCTTTGCAACAATAAGGCTATAGGACAGCAACTGTAAGTGAATTTGTTTTAATTCTGATGCCAATTCAACATGGACTCATGAATTCTATCTGATGGTTCTGGCTTAAGCAAACCGCATGTTTTGTGCATATGTTATTTTGTCCCATTCTCAATGCAAAGCGGCATCTGCAGATCTGTCTTCGTTTGGAATCTCAAACTCTTTTTGTTGGTGACATTTTTTGCAGTATACAAAGAAAGCACAGTGTCCCACAGTGCACTGCATCCGACCTTCCATTTTTAGTGTAAACCATTTTTAAAACCATTTCATTTCACTTTTATCCTCTTTTATCCACTCACTGAAATAAACATGTAACATAATAAGGTTGTAATAACAATGTAGTCATTACCTTATGAGCAATTTTAAGAGCATACTTTTTGTTAAACAAAAACAAAAAAACAGTAGGCGGTATATACTGTGCATTTTCCAACCATTGATTAAACAATCAGCCTTGGGTTTAAGAATCAGTGGTAACACTTTAGATTAGGGAACACACATTCGATACAAACTCTGAGTTCTCCCTCAATAAACCACTAATTTGCTGCTTATTGATAGTAAATAAGGTAGTTGTTGTAGTTTAGGTATTGGGTCTGGTTAAGGGATCTAGAATATGTTAATGCAGAATAAGGCATTAATATGTGCTTTATAAGTACTAATAATCCGCCAGTATGCTAGTAATACACAGCTAATAAGCAACTAGTTAATCGTGAATAGTAGGGGTGTAACGGTAAACGTATTCGTACCGAAAATTTTCAGTACGGGTCTTTCGGTTCGCTACACATGTATCGAACAAAAAGGTAACAGTCGCCTGTGCCTGTGACCTTTGACCCCTTGTGTTTTGGCTCTTGTGCTGGTTCTCAGATGTGAATATAACAGTGTGTATTGCTGTCGGGCAGGTTTGGGCGTTCTGTGTGTGTGTTTGTATCGGTATGTTGACACTCAGAGAGCTGTCTGTCACTTCGCTGGCAGCCCTCTGCTCCTCCGGCTCTATCCTCCCTAGCTGCAGCTCCGCTGTCGCTATGGAGACAGACTCACATCAACCAATCGCTAGAGCTCGGCCACAGGAAATGTCAAGCTGAAGGGCCTGGCAATTAAATCGGTGTGTGCGGCGAGGACTCTGTGCTCTGAGCTAGCTGAATGGACAGCACTGTTTAACTGACTTCAGTAATTGAAACCTTAACTTCGTGACATGACGAATTATGACCACTCCAGCTAAAGTGCCATGATAGTTTCAGAATGTTTTTCAATGTAAAATGTTTATTTTCACAGATCAATATATGGTTTAATTTAATGAAAACATTTTCAAACATTTTGACCCCAAAATATAAAATAATAATAATAAAATCTATAATAATTTGTGTATTTGTTTTTTAAATACCTCCAAGTATGTATAAATATATTGTAATTTATTAAACTTCAACAAAAAAAAGTTATAAAACTTTTTTAAAAATATGTATATAAAAACAAAAAAACATATTACAATAAAATATTACTTCTATGAAATTTTCTAACATTTTTATTTTGCATTACAGTAATAAAAATGACAAAAAAAATTGCATTATATTAATGAGAATTTGGGAGTCAAATGTGCCTGATTGGCATGAAAATGTCACAATGGAAAAATCGTCATGGTTTTAAAAAATAGGCTTTTATTTAGTAAAATATGCAAAATATGCAAATTATTTTTTGGATATTTTTCTGACCCAAACATGTTTTATAACGATAACAATGAAAACATGTTCACATTTTAACCCAAAATCTAAAGAAAAACAAATTATATTTACTGGATACTGGAGTTAAAATCAGCATTAGAAAAATACCACCAAGAAGTTTAAATACTATAATTTATTATTTAAACTTAAAAGAAAAATACTTTTATAGCTTTTCATTTTATAAAGTTTCTCTTTTTTTCATTACAGTAATGAAATGACAAAAAAAAAAAAACATTACAGCAGTGAGTTTTCAAGGTCAGATGTGCTTAATTGTCATGAAAATGTCACAATGGTTTTAAAAAATAGGCTTCATTTCATTTGGCAAATTATAGTTTTGAACAACTTTCTTATTCTTTTATTGTATTTATTTTTTAAATATATTTTTCCTGTCCCAGATATGTTCTTGACGGGCTACATGGGATTCCCTTATACACTTTTGACAGATAAATGTGTGTTTGCTGCAGTTCTAGCTGGCTGCTGTATAACAAATCCTCTGTCTACAAGCTGTTTTGCATCTAATTCAGTCTGTCACTGTAGCTTCAACTTGTCAACTCCTCATCAAACTCCTGATTAGTTCAATCAGTTCCGCTTCCTCAAGGCCTCATCATATTATCTGAAATGAGTTCTGCTGTCTGAGGAGGAGGGGGCACAAACTATTGCTCGCGGAGTTGGCATGTATTGCGAACACTAACTCAACTTGATGTCTTGAACTGTCTGGTGCTGATATTGCTCGTGTTGATGTGTGTGACACTGGAAGATGTGAAAGTGTGTAGCACTGCTGAGATCAGGACAGATTTCCCATCAGGGACAGTGAAGTATAGCATCTCTGCTTGAGCTGTTGCTTAGAGGTTTGTGCAGTAAACCGACAACAGAGTGTCAAGTGCATCAACCCTTAAATTTATACCAAATTTATAGTAATCATTAATTAGGTACATATTGCACATTGGGTACAATATGCTTAAAAACCGCAGTAATTATGCACTGCATGTGGCGCCCAACGTAGGGCTTTCATAAAGATTATGATGCTTTCATCTGTTAACCTGCTTATGCAACTTAAAGTACCTACAGACCTGGGGATTTACTACTTTGTGGGAGTAGATAATAGCTGCGTTTCCATTATCCTTCAAATTGCGCAAACTGAAATTGCGAATCGAAAATACGGCTAACGGAAACACATGAAATTCGCAAAAACTCCCATATATGGCAAAAAAGTTTTAATGCTCTTATGAGGTGGTTTTTCGGCCAATTTGAAAAATAAATATTTCGCAAAACTACAATGGAAACAGTTTTTTTTGTGTCTCCTTCGATAGTGACTAGTGCAGTGGCTGCGATGTACATAAACCTACCAACATCCGTTGCCATTAATTTATTGCGAGAGGAAAAAATTCAGTTTTAGTCGCATAACATCAGTTTATAGAAACACCGTCAATTCGCAATAGGTTTTATCGACATTTATAAAATATCGCAAAAGTTTTGCGCAAATCTGTAATGGAAATGCACCTTATATTTTTAAGCAGCTCTATTGAGTTCACAAGATGCGGCTTTCTGGTAATAACCTTATAAATCAGCCAGGCTGATTAATGTGCTGGAATGGCTTATTAATATATTATTGAAACTGGCTGATAAACTGTTTAGCAGATTATAATATTGTGTTACTTCCCAAATCCAGCAGCGTTATCAGTGAATAACAGAGCTGGGTAGATAACTTACAAATTGTAATCCATTACTGATTACAAATTACATGACAAAAATTGTAGTTAGTAGTAGGGCTGCACAATTAATCGAAATTAAATCGCAAAGGCAATAAATCGCGATTAGGCAGAAGCTGCGATTGTCATGCGTATCTTTCAGTGAAGCACGGTTCTGTGATCAGTAGTAAATCTTTATCCGAAGGCCAGAGGGCGCTCTCGCGCTGAAAATCCAAATATGCCCCGAAGAAGAAATCCTGCAGCTGAATAAACAGAAGATTTAACTGCTTTCATTGATTCAACGTGACTAATAAACACACGACTACGGCAATATATGGTTTATCTGAGTTCTTATTATTATTATTTTCATCATAATAAAGTATATCTATAATCAAATGCTAATCGACATAGCCTTTATCACTGCTTAGAAGACAATGAAATATTGTGTGCCTTAATAATTCTGTTTAAGAAGCCACATCATCTCACAGAAGGATTTAATTCAAACACTCGACTTACGTTATGAAGTGAGTTTTGAGTAAAAACATGTTATTAAATGTGGTATTTTCACGTGCTCTCAGATGGAGCAGCATTTACTACACAGAACCGCAGTTCACTGAGAACATACGCAAACAGCTGTCATTATCGCGAACTATTTCGTCAATTTCATAATCCTACGATTATATCGTCTGCGATTATGAACGCGATTTTGCATATCTTGCCAGAGAACTATGGCTCTGTGTAGTAAATGCTGCTCCACCTGAAAGCAGGTGATGGAGATTTACTACTAATCACAGAACCGGCTTTACTGACAAACTGTGCATGACAATCGCGATTAATCGCGTTCGATTAATCGTGCAGCCCTAGTTAGTAGCGCAATCCTTTTTACATATATGTATTTTAGCTAATATAATCAGATTACTTTTGACCTGTCGTTTTTCACATTGATTAAATAGGATAATCTTGTACCATATCGACATAAAAATGCAAAGAATAAGAAAACATATTCCATTTATTGTTATAAAACATCATGAAGTGCATTAAACATTAAATCTGACTCGGTTCAGATTAAAAACAAAATGTCCTCGGGGTAAATAAAGTTTTATGGCTTTTAGAAGTTTTCTTTCATAAAACACTTGAAAGCATGAGGTTTTGAACCCACATTTCAGAATTGTCGACTCATGTTTACAGATAATATATTTTGGCCCCTCATGGGCCCCCTCTTTAAAGAAAATTACTAGAATTGCCACGGGCTTAAACTCACATCGGTCAACCACTGACGCTGTCTGTACCGTGACGCAAGCAATCCCAGCCTGTAAATTATCTTCAAGCATCTCTTATCAGCCTTAAACCGACCAAAATCTTACAGCTTCAAACGTTACAAGATCCCTCATCTGCCGTTTTCAGAGGCAAGAGATTTACACGGTGACGCATCAAGTTTTTCCAGCTCTCAGTCACAGTGGAGGGCTGAGATTGTTTGAGATTGATGTCACTGGAGTCAGGATTGTGAATTTCCCTTTCCAAGCTGCAGCGATATGAAATACAGCTATTAGGGAGAGAATCAGTCATATTTCTGCCTTCCATGTGTCTTTACCAGTCAGCCGTGAGATCAGATTTGGTTTCTTACATTGCATGTTACCCTGCTTATGTGATTTTGAGTCATTTGTAACTCAATAAGTTGATATTCAATGGTGCATGAACTCCATTGTTTTCACTCATGACCGAGTCACTAACTCCAGTCTGAATACGAGCAGCGTGTCATTTTGTTCTTCAAGGGTTCCAGTTCTGCGCCTTGTTTTACATATTGGATTAATAATGGATGTTTTTACCCCTTAGGGATTCTCAGAATGGAAATCTATACTGTAGAGTAACTAGCTAAAAGTAGTTATGAGTACTGCTTTCAAAATGCTCCAGCAACAAGCTAGTTTACAATCAAGTAGTAGTGTGCCACAACAAAACACTGAATCTCTGGTTTAAAAATCTTAAAAACTGCACGAGCAGAATGAATAACCAAATGCTTTCTTAAACTGTTCTCTCTTTCTGTGGAATTGGAAAATCCATTTAATTCTAATGAAAGAGTTTTGAGACAGTTCATGTAAATGATCCCATTTCAAAAATAAACAGCAGTAGTCCCTGCATGGCGTTATAATTGTTGTTGTTTTTTTAATCATGAAACATTTATTAAATTCTGCTCTTTTACTTGGTTTGAGACTCATTATAAATAAAATATTATTTAGTGCAAGTTCAAAGCTGTTCAAAATTAATAGCTGAAAAAAAAAAAGTATTTGGTTGATTGTATTTTAAGTCATAAGATATTGCCCCCTTAAATAGCTTCAGTGTCATAAACTACTTATGTTAGTAGCTTGTAGTTTAGATAACTACTTTTTAAACTGCAGTTTAACTACTTTAAATGATGAGCAGCTTGTAAGTATCTCGAACGTTTGGGTAATGCTCAAATTAAAACCCACTGAAAATCACGTTTCCCCTCTTGCTCTCCATCCCACTTCATATAATCACTCTCCACTGACAGCCATTGGGCATAACAAATCTAGTTATGGGCGGCTGTGTTGGTGTTGGAAAGTGTTTTATGTTTATGAAGAGTGTTTCTGATTCACTGTATTTGTCCCAGGCAGCATTGTGTTTCGATTGTTATTTTGGTGCTTGAATGTGGCTTAATTTAGATTTTGATTGTGCTATACTGATTAGTCACGAGTAAAGTGAAAGGTTATGCTCAAGCAGTTTATTTTTGGCCATGGTCTGTATATGATTTTGGGACAAACACTTTCAATGTTTTTGTCTGTAGTTTAACAATCAGGCTGCACTAAATTGAAACTAGATGGTCCTTACATGGCAGCAAAAGAATAATGTTAAAGTTGTTTTTAAAGCTTGTTTTTATCTGGCTGTGCGCAGGAATCGACAGATAGCATCTTTCTTTCGGAAATGTAGTTGCTTGGTTAAATAGATGCAAGGTGAAAAATACCAATTGAGTATGCACATATTAGAATGGCTTTGTCAGTGGGTTTTTGAGTAAGGCAATTGGAAAATGTTTAGGTCACACTTTATTTTAAGGTCCAATTCTCACTATTAATAAACCATTAACTATGATTTTAAACTCCTAATTTGCTGCTTATTAATGGTTAGTAAGGTAGTTGTTAAGTTTAGGTATTGTGTAGGATTAGGGATGTAGAACATGGTCATGCAGGATATGTGCTTTAAAAGTACTAATAAACAGCCAATATGTGACCCTGGACCACAAAACCAGTCTTAAGTCGCTGGGGTATATTTGTAGCAATAGCCAAAAATACATTGTATTGTATGGGGGTCAAAAGATTTTTCTTTTATGCCAAAAATCATTAGGATATTAAGTAAAGATCATGTACCATGAAGATATTTTGTAAATTTCCTACCGTAAATAAATAAAAACTTCATTTTTGATTAGTAATATGCATTGCCTAGACCTTCATTTGGACAACTTTAAAGGTGATTT